ATAGGAGAGGCAGAGAGAGACCAGGCTTCAACCAGATGCACCAAGACACGAATATAACATACCGGCATGTACCAGGGAACCAATAGATTGGTTTGCAGGGCCGGCCCCAATCCTAACTATGTGGGGACACACACACACACACACACACACACACACACACACACACACACACACTCTGAGGGTCTACGATGGGGGGACCGTTACTGGAACATGACACACACCCCCACCATGAGGGAGAAGTTGTCCAACATGGCAGGGCATGCTAACTAGGAGGGGGGTGGCGGGCAGCCCAAGTGTGGTCCAACCACTGTGGCAGAGTGACAGCCGGGGCTGGAGGGAACAGGAATTCACAGTAGGGGGTCGCTGAGGGGTCTGGAGCAGCAGCGCGGCAGGCCGCAGACAGAAGGGGCACGAGAGGCAAACTCAGGTGGCCTCTCAGAGGTCATGTGTTGGTTCGTGGCATAAAGGCAGATGGTCTGGGGAGGGAGGCATCTGTGGCTCTCACTGCCCCTGGAGGGGCCTCCTCCTGACAGGCAGACACGGCCACCTGCTACACTCTCACCCGCCACTACATGGGCCACACTCCTGCCCTTGGTCTAAGCCGGCACCAGCTGAGCACTGTTCATTTAACTCACTTCATCTTAAGAGGCCCACCAGGAAACTTATCTGCCTGCTCAGATGGGACTCAGGCCGGCCCTGGCCCCAAGCTCTCAGTTAGCCCAGTAGAGCTCTCTCAAGCACAGACGGCACCACACTGCAGCCACTCTGGACGCGGCGGCCAGATCTTGTTTGAGCCACAGTCACTGACCTGACAGCCCAAGGAAGGGACAGAACTAAGGCTGAGGGGGGCAGACAGCAGGGCAACCACCCTCAAGCCAACCCTTTCCTGGCACAGACCCCCTGGCGCTGGGCCCGGCGGGGCTGGAGAGGCACTCACTTGAACACAAAGCCCTCGGGCAGGAGGTACACGCCGTCCCCAACCCGGTACTGGACGCCGTCTTTGGTGGCCGAGTTGTAGAGGACTCGGCTGTCCAGGTCCTCGAGCTGCTCCAAGACCCTGGGGATCTCCTTCTGCCTCATTTCACCCAGACGGACACAGCTGGCGCAAAACCTGGAAGGAGGGCAGACACCAAGACCTGAGGGGGCCCCGTGGCGATATTCGCCACCGGCACCCCTGGCATTATCAAACGCAAGCAATCCTGGTGTCTGAGGAAAAAACTGGATTTCTTCGATTTCTCTTCAGTCTTTGAAAGCACCTCAATGGGCCCAAAGCTCAGAGTCCACCAAGAAACACGAGCCCCTCCCATACTCTTGTATCAACTAAACACGGTCAGACACACGGAAGAGTTAAGAGTCTGCCTTAAGCCGACACCAGAGGCGGTCGCACGAGGAGCTGCATGCAGGCTGCTGAGCTGTGACCTGGCAGTGGGAGGAACCTCTGTCATCCGAGAAGGCCAAGGTGGCCCTCGACTGGACGCAGCCATTGAGAGGAGCAAGTCAAAGCCCGCTGAGGCTGCTGGGAGGTCTTGGGTTGAGGAGGAAAACCTGGGCACGGTGGGGAAAGGAAGCAGCCAGGATAACGCCCCCTTGCCCCAGTGGAGGGCCATGCAGAAAGGGCCTCGTCCTGGAACACCGCCCGTCACCACTGCTCACTTGTACTTGTTGTCCTCTGTCGGCTGCGTCTGGGGAGGAGACTCAAACCGTGCGTAGTCGGGATCGTACCACATCTGATAGAAATAGGTGTTCCCAGTGTCCTCAGGCTCCAAACCTCCCTTTGGGGAGAAGATGTTGTCAGCCCCACGAGCACCCAGCAAGACGGGGCCTGGTGGCAGGGCAGGATAGGCACACACCTCCTTGGCCCAGTTCTCCGACGGGGGCTTGTAGCAGACCTCCACCCTGCTGTGGATGTACGAGAGCTGCATGTCCTCGCACTCATCGACCAGGAACAGCTCCAGAGGATCCGACGTGGCCCCCAGGACCGTGTCCATCCCAGTGCAGAACCAGTGTGCATGGAACATCTGCCCGCTGTTGTCCTCCCACAAGGCCGTGACCCTGCAGTCGGAAGGAGGAGGAGGAGGAGGGGAAGAAAGAACTTAACTCCACTAGCAGGCGAGGGAATGTTTGTTCTTCGGGCACTTTTAGGGCTTTGAATCTAGAGCAGGGTTTCCCAAAGTGGGCGATACTGCCCCCTGGGGGTGGATGCGGGAATGACGATGGAGCCTGAAGAGGCGGACACTACACGTTATCCTGGGTCATGGGTTATAGGACTTGTTTCTAATTGCCAAGGGGAACTAAGTATTTTCTTAAACATAATTTTAGACATAGTTTACTCATTCCAATATATCCCTTCCCAGGGCTGTACAATTATCAATGCTTTCAACTCCCCTCTCCCTTTTTCTTAAAAGGGGGCGGCAGCCCAAATACATTTGAGGACCGACGGTGGGGAACGTCCGGTTCACGACATCATCAATAGCAGCTAACATCCCCACGGCTCTCTAAGCAGTTCCACATGGAAAAGAACGCAAACTCACTGTCATCGAGTCGAGTCTGACTCACGGTGGCTCCAGAGGACAGGGCAGAACTGTCACTGAGTTTCTGAGACAGCAAAGTCTTTCCGATAAAAGAAAGCCCTGTCCTGCTCCCTTGGAGCGGCCGATGGCTTCAAACCATTGACCTTGCGGTTAGCAGCCCAAGGATGACCCCCAGGACCCCCAGCTATCACATTAAGGGCGAGTTATGGAGTGGTTCCACCGGCATGGCCTGCGGCAAGGGAGGCTATAAATAGAGTGGTCCCAGCAGAAGAAAGGTGCCCGGCCCGGTCTGGAGCGAGCGAGCACCATGGCTCCTGGAAGTGGCCACCGCTGGGCGGAGGGGAGGACACGAACCTTGCTAAGTAGAGCGGTTTGGAGGGATCGTCTGGGCTCACAGACACGCAGTCCCCCACTTCCAGGGTTTCTGAGTCAATGCAGACCTTTCTATAGTAAGTCTTCTTCCCGTCCGTCTGGAAACAAGGACACGTGCTGGGGCAGGCCCTGGAAGGTCTGGGATGGACCCCACCTGTGGGGTCCTAGGTTAACCATCAATCAACAAGCCTAACTCGCCAGTGACTTGATTCTGTACCAGTTGGCCAGGGCGGGGAGGCAGTACCCACTGTCCTAGGCCCCCTCCAATACCAGCAGCAGCACCGAATGACACCCACATCAACTCCATCCCGTGCTCTTGAAGGCCACCCTCCAACTCTAAGCTCCTCTGCTTGCTCCTCCTGCTCCAGCCCTGTGACTGCTGACCAGGCCAGGCCTCGCATGGGCTGCTCCCGAGCTTCCATGCCGGCTCCAAGGTCCTACCACCCGTCCCTGCTGCAGCCCCCGTAGCACCTGTGGCCTGTCCCGCCCCCAGGCTCAGAGACAAGGGGAAGCCCCAGAGCACGGGGAAGCCATCTGCAAGTGCCCTACTCCTACGTCACTGTGCTTGAGCTGCTCTTCAAACCTGCCTTCTGCCCCAAGCCTGGGCGATACCCACTTTATGCCAGCAGCAACAGGAGCTACTGGTGCCGATGGGCACAGGTGGGGGCCAGACACCAGGAGCTAGCCGACTGGGAGGCAGTGGCACCTCCTCTGGACTCTGCCCCAAAATTTACCTTGATGGCTTCTCCGATCCAAGAGATCCTGTTCTTGTTCTGTTTCTTCTTCTTCTCCTGATGCATTTTTTTGGGCGATGGCACCTCTAAGATATTGTCTTCTACGTCTTCGTCATCATCGGCTTCCTTCACGGCCATGTTGGGACACCTGCAGAGCTGCTTGTTAGAGGTGTAGCACTCGAGTGGGGAACTGATGTCCCCTCCTGTACTACCTACCCGGGGCCGGAATGGAGGCCCCCGCCCCCCCAACCCAGCCCATTGGTGAGCAAAACCAACTGGGGCTGTTGAGTCGGACACCAGGCATGAACTTGGAGAGCCAGTGGCACAAAGGCATGCAGCCACCCCATCCCAATTTGCACACATCCTTCTGGGCCGGCCAGAGTTCCGATTCCCACTCTCCCTTGCCGCCTGCAGAATAGGGAGGGGCGCCAAGCCTACCTCCTCTCCTGGCAAGCCTGTTTGCTCCGTCCGCTGCCCCCAAACTTCACCATGTCCTTACAAGCTTTGCATTTCCCGCACTCCGACAGCTGGCAGACCTAGGAAGCGGCAGGCACAGAGCCGCTCAGCAATGCATGCACCCGTGTGCGGGGTGGGGGCACGCGTTTCTGAGAGTGCCTAGGGAAACTTTCAGCATCTTTCCATTTCATGCTTCCACCAACTTATGGAAGCCTCACCTACAATGCCGTTTGGGAATGAGGTTTGCTTTCTGATGTCCAGGGGGGCCCATGAGTGATGGTGGGAGGGTTCTGAATCTAACACTAACACAGCCATCCAGCCATTAGGGAGACTAGCAAGTAGCCAGTGGGAAGAGATGCCAATACCACGACAGGCCAGGAGCCAAGGGTCGCTGCCTACTGGACGCTCACACAGACCAAGGATGACCAACGCCCCCGCCTCAAGCTACACACTCTGGATTCAGAGTCCTACCTTCCTGAACTGAGACACAATCTGTTCTCAGAGCCACTCACTTGCAAGATTTCTGCGCCCCAGCACCCGAACTCAAATTGAGCCAAGACCGACAGTGAGTTGATTGTGACCTGCAGTGACCCTGCAGGACAGGGTAGAACTGGCCCCTGCAAGCTTCTGCGGCTGGAACTCTTATGGAGTTTGTTTTTCTCCCTTGGTTAGTTAGTGACCCACAATGCCACCCAGGCTCCTCAGCCAGCAGCACCAGACAGTGAAGATCAATGACTGCGTCACAGCAAGCAACTTTTTGAGGCATCTGCTATCTTAGGATACACTTGAACAAGGTCCCCCTGCAGACCGGCAAGATGAGACTCTGATCCATGGCAATGGCCGGGGCGGGTGGGGGGGAGAAGGGAGCAGAGACAGGAGTCTGAGTTCACACTGCTCAAGGGAACAAATGGCAGAGACTTGGGGAGTTATCTGGATCCAAGGTTGATATACACCCCAGCCCAACAATGTCACCCTTCCCCAGGACATCCCCATTGTGCCACATAAAAATCTAGGTTGCCGATCCCTGAGGAAGCTGGGCTGGATCAGATACTAACATGCCACTGAGCAGTTCCATCGGGTGAACTAGCCCGACGGATCTGTGTCAACACATCACTCAGTTGCAAATGAGACCAGGTATGCGTTGGTTTTAAAAGTTATCAGCAAACCAGCCAGAGAGATATGGACGGGCAATGTCTGCTGGACGGCTGCACAATCACGCCCCAAGGTACTGGGTGCCAGGCATCGGGCCCAGCTGCCATATGGTGCTTGGTCTGCATTAAGGTGCAGCAGTCAATTAACAGACACCAACACACGCCCGCTCTCTGGGTCACACTGGGGGTGGCGATTCCTTCACAGTGGAGTCAACGTACGGAGTGGACTCAGTTTGTGGAAAAGTTCCATTTTCTTTAAATCCTACTGTTCTGTAGTCACATACAAACACACACACACACACACACACACACACTCACAAAAAGGCCACTTCTTCAGGGGCAGGTTTTAAGTCCAACAGGAAAGCTTGGTCACAAGACAGGGCGGGCTCCTGAGAGGATTTCCTCCACTTGGAGGAAGTGGCTCCTTGCTTGAGGGAAGGCCCTCCCTATGGCACTCAGCCCAGGGCCTTGGGCACAGTAGAGAGTCAACGCCACTCAAGAGTGCCCAGCCTCAAGGCAAAGAAGAGCCAGTGCCCTGAGATGGCCGGGGAGTCTGGCCGCTCGGCAAGGTTACCTCGCAGACGCCGCAGCGCTGGCGTTTCAGAGTGTTCTCTTTGTCGTCCTTCTCGATCTCCTCCGAGAAGAAGGTGTCGAAGATCTGGTAGACCAGCTTGGTGGTGGTGGCTTTGGTGGGCACTTTATCCCTCACCCGGGCGGAATGCCTGATGGTGGTGTGGCGTTTCCTGGAGCTCCTGGGATGGGAGAGAGGCCCCCCCCTGTCTCAGCCGTGGCCTGGAGAAGAGGACCCACAGGACCTGCGGCCCTCTCTGGGCTTCCTGACCTTCGCCCAAGGGTGGCACCAGCCAGGTTGACCAGGTCCTTCATGCAGGGCGCCTGGATGATGGGCTGCTCGTCGCTGTCCCCGGCCTCATCGTAGCTCTCCACCTGCTCCACCACAAACTGGGCGTGCCGGAGGAGAGAGTCCTCCGTGAACCGATTCAGGTTGAGTGCAGAAGGGGGCACGGTGGTCTTAGGAAAAAGACAGAAAGAAATCCTGGACTTGAGCCAACGACACCCACTGGGTGGGGAGAGAAAAACCACATTCAAAACCAGTGTGGAGCCTCCCCAGCCCTGCGGGTAACAAAATCCCAGGAGAAGCTCAAGTATCAAATGGCATCGTGTTTCTAGAAAACCTCAGCCCATCCTCCTGCACACTGCACACACTGTCTCTCCGACTTGTCACCCCAATCTAAGGGCTGTAGCAAGATGCACACGGTGCCTCAGCCCCAGCAGCACCCCTGTGAGCCCCTCATTCCTCAGCGCCCCTCCCCACCCCAACAAGCAGGCTGGTGAGATCCCAAAAGCTCTTACCTCAATCTTATTGATCAGGTCTTCATAGGCCGCCTCAGGGTTGTTCTGCAGAAACTCCACGACTATCTTACTTATGTAGATCTTCTCCTGGATCAGATCAAAGATCGGCTTGTAGTCTGGGTTGGGATCCATCAGGATGTACTCAGCAAATGCTGGAGGGAGAGATGGTGTTGCTAGGCAGCCGGGTGAACCCGATGGCGCCTACAGCGTAGCAGGAAGGGAAGTGCCAGGGCCGGGCACTGCTCACCCAAGGCCATATCCAGAGGAGCTTCCCCAAGTCCCATACCATGGTCCCAAGGTGCTCTCAGCTGCCTGCCACCCGCCACCCCCCACCCCCACCGCAAGGAAGAAGACACTCAGGGCCCTGTCAGGTCCCAGAATGAGGCTCCGCTTGGTCAAACACTTACAGGTGCTGAAGCCAATGAGGGCCTTTTCTCCCCCATCAAAGCCAGTGATCCACCACGCATTGATGGGGCCCAGGTTCACGCCGTTCACACCGCCTGGGAGAAAAACCACCAAAGAAAAGCCACTAGGAGTGGTGCTCACCTCAGACCCCTAGAGTCCACTGGGCCCGCGAGCCTCATGTGGAGGATTCTGCGCACAGATTAAGCAGAGTCTCAAGCCATGGCATCACGACTCAGTAGTTGCCCGGATGGCGTTGCTCTTACCCTCAGGAGAGGGGTCGTCATCGTAGATGGGTTTCACTGTGCCAGAGAAGATGAGCTCCACGTTCTTCTCGATGAGGCCGGTGTCGATGGGGCACAGATGGCCGTGCTGGCAGAACACGCTACAAAGACGAGACAGGGCGCCTGCTCACCAGCTAGCCAGGGCGCCGCATGAAGATCAGACTGGACTGTTCCAGAAACCAAACCATCTCCCAGAGAATGGAGCCCAGCCTCAGAGTTTCAATTAAAGAGGAGACAGAGCTGACCAAAGGCCACTGATGGGCCTAAGGCTCTGCTCCCTTAAGAGCCAAGGTAAGCCCTGGCAGAGAAGGCTCGGGGAGGAGAGTCACCGCCACAGGAGGCAGCCTCTGAGCCTGCAGCCTGGCCGCCCTCCCCCCACCAGACCCGGCTTGCTCTGCGACCACTGGAGTCTGTGCATGTCACTTTCCTCATCTACACAGAACGCCTTTCTCCCAGTAACCCCCTCCTGCTTACCAAGCTCTTATCGACCTGCGCTCTCTGGCCACCCAACGAGGTGGGCACCTGGCCCTGGCCAGCCCTCACTGGAAAGAGTGTGGACCCCCCCACCTCCCCTGGCCGACAGACCGAAGATGTAACATGGATGGTTTCAATGGTGAGAAGCTGACAAGGCTCTGGCACAGCCCCCAACAGGGTGGTGGCTGATTCACCAAGGATTGCCAACAGAGGACATTTTTCAGGCGTAGGGGTGAGCGAGCGGCAACCCTGTAACAAGATGGGCGTCTTCCGGCGAGGCACCGAGGGAAGAGGCGGGAGAGGTACCTGAACGAGGTCAGCTTGTGCTGCGGAAGGTCCTCGTAACTCTCGAAGCCGGATTCGTTGTTGTCGTAGATGGACAGTCTCTCATCCGTCAACATCTCTGGCTCGAAGAGCTGCGAGACAGCAGAGCTGAAGGCCCAGCCCCGAGGACAGGTCACAGGAGACCAGCGCCCGGGCGGCCTGTACTTACTGCATTGACAGGGGGCTGCTCGTACTTGAGGTCGGGGTCATCCAGGTACTGTGCGCACTCATCGCACCTCAGGGTATCGAGCTGCTGCTGGGACAAGAAAAGTGGGGCTCAGAAAGGCCCTGCCAGCCGCCCCATTTCTATCCCGGTCAATGCCGCTCACGAGCTAAGCCCTCAAAGAGGGAAGCGAAACCCACATCCCCACGGGGGACGCTTTATAAATTCAGTTTCCCAAAACGTCTGCCTTCCCACACTTTCTCCTTGCTTTGGATAAACGTAAAAGGCGAGGGAAGGATCTTTGGAAACCACCAGAAAGTCTGTCGGGGAACAGGATAACTAACATTTTGGTCTCAATGTACAAGACTGTCGGGGTTGAAGTTGGCTTTGCTGAACGGAATGTCTTCCAATCCCATAAAAGCAGACGTTTCGTGACACCACTAATGTAAAGGAAAACCACCCACACACCAGGAAATAAGGTGCTCCCACCAAAAGCAGCAGACTTTAAAGGCCTGGGGTGGGGTGGGGGTGGGGGGAGGGAGGGACAGGAGGAGGGCGAGTGTGTGGTTGATGAGGCGGTCACGGCTCTGACAAAAAGGGCCGGGTGAGCTTTCACGTCTCTGTGGCTAGGCACCACTCTTGTGCACATCATATTCTACAAATAAAACGGGCAAAAGGAGAAGCCCCAGCCTTGAAGCCCTTCCCGCTTCCTTCTCCATCAGATCGGAAACCCTGGCCTGAATGGTTACGTGAGGAGGAGGAAGTAAAATGGAATCGGACTTCAATGCTGGGGTGGCACACAGGCTAGTTTCAAACAAAGTTTTGTCCTTAAAAAAACAAAACAAAACAAGTCTTCATAAACAGGACCTGCATGAGACCTCCCTCCCCCCTTCTAACTTGGGCAGTTAGAGAAGGGCATTGTCCGCCAGCCTCCAGAGAGCTCTCTGCAATATGCTGCCAAATACAGTTCATGAGCTGGAAGATTCATCAGCTGAACTACAACCCTAAGAAACCACACCAAATAAGTAAAAGGAATTTAATTGAGACAATTTGTATATAATTGGCCTGTGTTAAGTGCTGGCGAGCCCTCATACCACTGTCTAGCCAGTTCTCCAACACTGGCCTGAGGTTCATCACTTGATGCCCAGCCCCCTGGTCCAGCTCGATCCGTGAGGAGCATGGTAGGGTGGGCTCCGGCGGCTGGACTTCCCCCCACAGTGATGCTGGGCGGGCCATCGCATTGCTGTGTTTTATCAGGCTCGGACTCCTTTTTGTTGCTGTGTGGAGTGAGGTCTACAGGAGTGTCCCCGCAGACACTCGTCAATCATAAGAATGGCGGGGCGGAGGCAGCCAACAAGCACCCCGAGGGAACTGGGTCAGGATGGAAGCCGTTTTGGAGCAATGTGGCATGACATGGACAATTTGTCTTCCAAGCACAGCAAGTGTTCATGAGCACCGTTGTGAATCACCCGGGCCCCGGCCAGCCCTATACAGCCACAGCCGACCAGCTGGCCAAACCCACCCCCCTACGAAGTAATGCACACCATGGCCAGTTGGCTAACCTTTACACACTTCAAAGGACTTCAAGCTGAAGCTGATCTTACGGACAATTCCATTTTTATCCCCACCTTCCCAGTGCTCTATGTACATAGGATGGAATGTTTCTATTTGTACTTCAATGAATGAACCCCACTGCCATCATCAGGTAACTGACACAGCAACCCTGGAGGCCAGAGTCTAACTGTTCCGTGGGGGTTTCTGAGAGTGACCAGCCTCATCTTCCTCCCTTGGAGCAACTAATGGGTTTTAACATCTTTTGTGGTACACCCCCCCTCCCCCACAGCATGATCTCCTGGGGCTCTTGGTCCAATCACCTCCAGGTTCCAACGATAAACCTTTCCGTTCCTCATTCCCGAATCCTTGCTATTCCCACAGTCACCGAGCTGCCCCACCTCCGTTACCTTTAGTCTATTTGTCCTGGGAGCCACTCCCTGCCTTGGGAACCACCTCCCTGATCCCTGTCTAGATGTTCTGCCCTCAGGGATCAGCTGGGCTGACTCCTGGACTTTCAGGCCTTTCCAGAAAGTTTACCTTCTCAGTGAGGCCTCCCCTGAGCACCTCACCCTAAAACATCGCCTCCCTGTTACCTCAATCCACCTCGCCCTGTTGCTCGACATCGACACCTACATCTACAGCCTGGACCGGACTCTGACAAGGCCAGGAGGTTCATGTGAAAGAACTTACCTTAGAGATTCCTGTGATGTTAACTTTATCCTTCTTATCCTTTGTTTTATCTTCCATTCTGGGAGCAAAACACATGGTCAATTATTATTATTTTTAATCATTTGAGACAATCCCAAATCAGCCCTGTTAAGAGTTGTTCCTCATTCAGCCCAGATGGTCCCGGGTCACGTATGGCGCAGTCCCACAACCCAGTCCTGTGCTCACTGAGCCACTCCAACCCTGGTTCTGCTAATTCCCTAAGCACCTCCCTCTCTTTCTCAATCATCTCCACATTGGGATCAAGACAAACAATCCTTACGGTGACTCTTTGCATTCCACTTTGCGTCTCTTCTCGTCCTGCGTGGAGAAAGCGGAGAGGAAGTGTCAACAAGGAGTGTGTCTGCAGGACAGCACTGCGGCACCAAGCCCTGTCAACACACCCAAGGCCTGGGAGGAGCAGGCCGAGAACTGGCTCGCCTTCAGTACCCCTCAATCTTCCCACGAAAAGTCCGAGAGGCTTCCTTAAGGAACTCAGAAGCCAGTGAGCAAGCAACAAACACCTCAAGCGAAGCAGAGATGAGGAGCAGTCTCTTTAGAACATTCCAGGTAAATAAAGGAATGGCAGACGCTGACTTGGCAGCTCTGCTGAAAGAACCAACGACAGTGACAGTCACTGGAGACAAAATGCTGGGGTGCAGAGCTGGGAAGGAACTCCCGGAAAGGGTACGCAAGGTCATCTATGGGGAGGAGCTACATAGCTGCTACACACACACACACACACACACACACACACCCCTCTATTTCCCTAGCGCTATATGCCAGAGGGATGCACTTGGCAAAATCTGGAGTCTGGACAATTGTATAGAAAACTCAGCTCCATCCAGGAATTGCATCTAACTGCCAGGGGGAAGACTACAGCTACCCAGGCCAAACACCGACCAGATGTCCTGTAATCAGTTTGGATTCTGAATAACTGTGTAAGGGGAAAACACAGAGACCCATTAGGGAGCATGGAGCTCGGACTAGATCATGAGGGATACTTGTCTTATCTGGGAGGATCATGGGAAGGTGGATGTCTGAGTGCTGCCTCGGAAGGCCGCTTCTTCCATAAAGAAGTTAGTGAGCAAGGCTGGGATTTGTCCAGAGTCGTCCAGGGCAGAGGTGCAGTGAGGAGCTCAGGTGAAGCTATGCCCTGACACCCGCCTGGCCCCCACTTGGCGGCTAACTGCGAGAGGTGGGTGGCGATGAGTGCCTGGGGATTCCCAACGAGCCTCCTTTTGTGTTTGCTCAACCCTTCTGAATCCACAGAACAAATTTAAAAACCACATCCACAACAACGAGCTGCATGCTGTCCTGGTGAAACGGAGTTACCATCTCATCCTCATCGCTGACAGAAACTTGCAATTCTGCTCCTTCTAATTCTTGTTCTTCGGGCCTCCGCTTGGCAGCACTAACATGGAAACAACACACCACTGATTAGCTAGAGAAACTTGAATGCCAGTTAGTCCCAAGAACACCCGACAGATTCCTGACTCCTCAAGGACAAGTACAATATTCAGAAAAGATCTGGGGAAGAATTTCTTCCCCCTTCCCATTCAGAAAGCTCCCACCCCTCCTCACAGTGCCTCTACGGTGTTTAAAGTGATGCACCCTCCAAAACGAATCTGACTCATGTAGTGATCCTGAAGGACAGAACTGCTCTCCAGGGTGTCCCAAAGCTGTCGGTCGGTCTATGGGGAAGCAGGCTGCCACATCAAGTAACTAGGGGACTCAGACTCCTGGCTTTTTGGGTAGCAAAGCCAGCACTTAACCACTGCACCACCCAGTTCCGCAACGGTGCATTAGCTTGTAAATGTGAAATGGGACTTTTACCCGTGCCACCTGACGCCTCACAGATAGGCATGATTCTGTGTAGGTAGTTGGACGGACAGTTGGCAAGGGCAGAGGGAAGTTAAGGGGGAGGGCCCAGAGTTGTTCTCCAGGTCAGCCCCAGCAACACCTGCAAACCTCTAACCCACAGGTTTCTAGAGCTGGCATCCCAGGGACCCGGGCTACCCAGAGCACGGCACCGAAGCACTGAGACTACTTACTGATCTCTGGGTTGACTTCTGGGCCGCTTTTCATCCTGTGGGGTAGTGGGGGAAGAGCAGACGTGGAGAGAGGGAGGGGAGGAATTAGTTTCTGAGAGCCACCGAGACCAAGTGACATAGGTCAATCCTGTTACATACACAACCCACAACAGTGGTGCTCCAGGAGTCGGTTTGGGCAGATGTGCAGGCTGAACAGGCGCGGGAGAGAGAGTGGGAGCACGCCCGTGAGCAGAGATTTGACAGCTGTGAGACGTGTGTGCGCTTCTCTTTGCTGTGGGTATATCCACGAATGTGGTGGAACACACAGGCGGGCAGTTAGTTACAGAAACTTCTGACATGAAAATTCTTTGAGGGGCTGAGTCTCTGGACGCTGGGGAATGAGGCACACAGTCTCAGGGAACACTGAGGTCTACTGGTCTAACAGCTCACACAGGAAATGTTCCACCCCCTACTGCAGTGATTTGCGAGGGGTCTTCAAAGCTCGTGAGCAACCCCAGCTAAGGTGCCAGCATTGGTCTCTCCCCATCCGGAGGAAAGAATAACAGAAAGACGAGGGAACAGTCCATGGAGTAAGGGACCTTGCAAACATCCGTTTCCACAGACTTGAGACCAGAACTAGATGCCCAGCTTCCACTAACCAACTGCCCTGAGAAGGCTCACATTAAGGTCCTGGGTAGACCGGGAATAAAATGGGTTAACAAAGCTCAAAAAATCCTAAGAGAACAGGTCAGGAAGAGACAGGTGGGACACCTTGAATCTATGGTCCTGAGTCATCCTTCAGGTCTGGAAATGAACCTACCGCTCATAAAATCAACCACGGGCGATTTTAAGATTTTAAAGAGGCAGCATCTATTATACTTTATTCAGAGGATTAGGGGGAAAGATGAGAGCAGAAACCGGATCAGGGAGAAAGTGGAAGAGGAGGAGGCACACAGAGGGGATGGCAACAGATCACTCCAAACCTCCACCCAACTCACAAGCTGAAAAAGAATGCCAAGACCAAGGCTGTGAATGACCTCAGTACCGCTGAACTCGAACCAGAAAGACCCAGGCCCATTGAGAGGGTAGCCTCAAGGCTCCACACTCTTAACCGAGCTCCTGCCCCCACCTACAAAGCAAACCCAGGCCACTGGCAGCAAGTCAATTCTGACCTGTAGTGGCCCGACAGGGCAGAACGGAGCTGTTCCCTAGGGTTTCTGAGACGGTCTTTAGGGGAGCAACAAGCCTCGTCTTTCTCCCTCAGCGTACCTGGTGGGTTCAAACAGCTGACCTTGCAGTTAGCAGCCCAAAGCAGAACCTACTACACCAAGCTCCTCATCTATGAAGAAGAGCATAAAGAAATTCCTAGAACTGGGGTTACAAAGCCTTGTTCCAAGGGCCAGATCCGCAGCACTCCAGCCTCCGTGGTCTCCGCCACAAACATCCATTCACTGTTGCAGCCCACAAGGAAGCAGGGACAATTGTGAGCGACCTGTGGTTTGCCAACCCTCCTCCCAGACGATAGCTCAATGGAAGAGGGACCGCATAGCCCTCTTGCTTCTGTCAGCCAAAACAACAGCTCTATCCACCATCTGGCCTCAGACAGACCGGTGCTGGGCACAGGGGTGGCAGGAGGGGCATCCAACATAGGCAGCTAGTATGACAGGTAACGGAAGTAAGCATTCCCAACCCCTTTTCTGGAAGAACAGCCTAGTCATTTTCCGAGGCTGCCAACAAGCAAAGCTTTCTGAGACCCTCATTCAAGTTTATCTTCATAAGCAACAAATGTCCAAGTGGACATATAAAATGACAGCAGTCAGTGGTACCAGAAAGCCTCATGTTTGGTTCGTCCATTCCTTCCTACGGTAAGTGCTGGCCGGGTTCGAAAGCTCCTGGTCAAATTCTATCGGGCACTAAGTTCCAGGACAATGCTGACAGTACTTGCTGCCCCAAAGGGAACCTCCAACTGGATAGAGAAAGTAAGACAAGCGAGATGTGCCGACATGGGAGCAGACGCAAGAAAGGCCTGCTGCAGGAGCGCTCCCAACCCAGCGAGTCGAGCATCAGTCTCCACAGGGAGGAACCAGAGGCCCCGTCATGGTGGGCTCTCAGAGGGGGACCACACCGAGTTAGAGCCCCCATAAGCTTTATCCTCCTTCCGGGTCACCAAGCCTGCCATCCTCAGTGGTACAGGGAGCCAGGCTGCCCCAGGGCAATGCACCAGGTTTACAGGTTCCCTGAACCAAGTTGGAGGTGGGGAGGTGTGTAGGATGCAGGACAGACTCAGAAATGGGGTACTGGCGGTGGCACAGCACAGGTGTGACAGGAGTCCCATCTACGCCCAACCCCATCAGGTGCTCTGTGGAGGTGCTCACCAGAGAAGCTGGTGTCCCACATACAAATGACCCTTCCCTACGCACACACCCACACCCATCTGTGGACACACAGGCAACTACATGCTTGCAGCATCTAGGGCAGATGGGCCCCGCACCAGCTGCCAAGAGGTGGATCGGAGAACTCACCTAGTCACCCCCACTGGTCAAGAAGGGCTGGATTCAACCCGAGCCCTACCCACCCCCTGTCTCCCAGCAAGGGAGGAAGGACACATGCATAAGGAGGAGGAAGGTCTTTACTCTGTCTCCATCCCTCCGGGTTCGCATCCCTGGCACTGCTTCGCTGCTGGAGTCCTCTGGGCTCATTCTGTCAGACAACACAAACAAACCAGGCTGTCAGCTCGGCAGACCCCGCTGCCCTTCCCAGCAGGCCTCTCACCGCCTCCTCCCCGGCGGGCCACCTTCATGGAGGCATCGCCGACTGCCTCAGCTATGGCATCAGCACTTCCTAGGAGAGCTGCTGAGGAAGGCCATGCTTGGAGGCCGAAGCCCCATGCTCTGGTCACCTGAAGGGACTCCTGCTTGCAGTGCAAGGGGGCGAGAGGTTGGCCCCCTAAGCCAACCTTGGATGGGGGCTCCTGAGAGCTGCACGGACCTGTTACTGATGACAAACTGCCCGCTGACCATGTCTTCTTCCCTCACCACCTCCCCGGCCCCTCATTAGGGGCAGGGTGTGTGGGCCGCCCTGGACTGGGCGCAGCCTCAGCATCTGCTCCCAGAGTCTGGCAAAGTGCTTCCGTGTGCCCCGCTCTCGAGCTCTGCCCGGCCGGAGGAGTCAGAGACAGCCGGCCTGCCCTAGGCTTCCACTCAGCACTGTGGTTCAGTTCCCCACTCAACCAGAACCCGTATTGCCATGATCAGGCTTCACAGAAAGCAGAAAGGCGTGGGTGCTGCACTTACAACAGTTCTTTGGTTCGCCGTCGGAGTCTCCTCTCTTCCTAAGGGGGCAAGAGAAGACGTGTTAGCTAGCCGTTTCCCACCTGGCTCTCGTCTTTCCCTGAAGCCGTCTACTGACGTGTTTTATAGAACTATCGGGGCGGCACAGAGGGAGAGATGTGTATGTATAGATACACACACACCCCTATCCTACTATCTAGGGAGTGGGCATACAGACCGTCTACCTTCAAGGTGGTTTCTTAGAGGAGTGAGGGGACCTCTTAGAACAGCGGTTTTCAACCTGTGATCTCGACCCCTTCGCCTGACTCCTAACAGTGGCAAAATTATAGTTATGAAGTAGCAACGAAAATAATTTCATGGTTGTGGGGGTCACCACCACATGAGGAACTGTGTGAAAGGGTCGTGGCATTAAGAAGGTTGAGAACCACTGTCTTAGAAGATAAACAAGACTATCCTATTATTCAAGATGTTCATGTCCCAATCCCTGCACCCGGTCATTAGGAAGCGCTGACCACCTCAGCTAACCCTGTATCAAAACCAGACGTTGATACTCAAGAGATGAAGTCAGTTTAGACAGGAGTTCCATCTCAAACATGGACACCCAGCGCATTGAACCTGGATTCAGAAAGCCAGTAAGCCAGTTTCTGGAAAGCAGATCCCCTGAACTGAACCTCCAAAACTTACTCACCACTGCATGTTATCAACATGACAGCCGAAACGCCACAAGCTCATTTGAAGCGGTCTGACATGAGGGGCAGCATGTCCCTGATTTTCCCGTGGCATGAAGGGGCTGGGGGAGTGTGCCCAGAGGAGAGGGGTTTCCGTCTCGCCCCTACTTCCCTCAGAAAGATAGTGGTCAGATTGGCTCACAAGATCCTCCTGGTTCTGAGAGGAATAGGAGGCGAGTACAGACCGTAACTGCTGCCAGTTCTTTACCAGCAACGAACAGCAAAGGGGTCCAGGTAAAAACTACCTACTGTACCTCAAGAATGACTGTTTGCTGCCAACAAGCAGTGGACGCCCAGCCTTCCTCCAAGACTGCAGCACTCGGCCCCCCGTCCAGTCTGCAGCAAACCCTACCAACATCTTAGCAGCGAACAAACTCAAGAATGGGAACCGGTGTGGCTCCGGCCCCTTCCCTCACAATGCTGGCCCCGTCAACAGTGCTGTCCAGGGGTGAAGCTTCCGGTCTCTGAAGGCCCCATTTCCTGTCCCACCCCCAAAAGCTGCTCAGAGGCTCTGGGGTCTTATGAAAGAGTAGGAGGGCAAGAGGAACAGCTGCGAGGTCAGAGCAGGGCCAGGTGCATGGAGGCTGCGGTTGAGGTTCAGGACCTCCTGTGGTGGATTCCATTCATTCCTTCACAAAGATGGCATCAGCCCGAGGCAGGCTAACTGACTGCCCAGCCGGCTACAGTCTGGGCCCAGGTTTAACACTAGGGGTTCAAGACCACCACAGCCTTAACACCCCTTTTCTGGGTCTACACTTTGGCTTTCCCAAAGTCACTTTGATCATGAGTGACAACACCCTGCACTCTGCCCCTTCCTGAGCTAGAATCAAAGAAGGACCAAATGGGCCTAAGGGAGAAAGCACAGACGTGGCGGTGACCAGACTTTACTTTTTCGGCACTGGTTCCTGGTTTCGTGCTTTCTGGCCGATTGGCGACTCTGTCAGACAAACAAAAGCAAGTCTCAGGTGTGGCTTCCACAGCCTCCTCCCCCAAGAGTAGTTTTCCTCCCAGGCACCCACATGAAGGAAGCAACCACCATCCGGGGACCCCAGGCGGCACACCCCGCCTTTGCAGCAGGGGCTGATAAGAACTGCCTGTTGTTGAGAATTGGACACCTAGATCCAAAGATCATCTGACCCCAGATTTGGCCTCCTTGACACATCTATGGTTGCCAGAGCAACACCACACAAAGTGCTTCTTTGTTAAGCTTTCCAGAGAAATCAATGGTATTCTAGGTTGCACACCACCGGGACCGCACAGGGCTAAGAGAACATCAATGGTTCTTACAGGTCTTTGGAGGCAAGTCTCCGTCTCTTTTCATCCTGTGTGGAGGGAGGGGAGGAGGGAGAGGCAGGAAAAGGAGATGTGTTTAGAGGAGGGTTCAAGACCAAAAGCATCAGCCTTAATTAAGTGTATCTCACAGGGGGTCTGAGCTTGAGGGGGAAGAGCTGAGCACGCATTGCTATCTGATCACCCCCAATACACGGGACACACTGACCTCAGCCCCACATGCATCTGCTCACCTCCTAGAGAGGCAGTGCGAAAGTTAAAGATTCTCCACTTCATGTATAGAATTCAGCAAAACCCGAAGCCGAGTTGTTTCTAATTCTTAGGGATCTTCTATAGAATTTCCAAGGCTGTCATCTTTCTGGGAGCAGTCAGCCTCAACTTACTCCCAAGTGGCTGGTAGGTTTGACCTACCAACCTTGTGATTAGCAATCCAGTGCTTACCCAACAGCTCACCACCAAGGCTTCCTTCTTTACTCAAGTTGTCATTTGGGACTTCAAGCGGGAAGTGATAAAGATCTAAATATGATACCAGCTCTTCTTCCCAAACCATATCCCAGAACATGGTTTCCCTCTCGCTCAAACTCACTGCCCTCGAGTCAACAGACTCACAGCAACCCTATCCGACAGGGCGGAACGCCCCCTGTAGCTGTGAGGCTTTCACTCTTCCCAGGAGCCGACAGCCTCCGCTTTCTCCCAAGGAACAGTTGGTTTTAAACTACTGGCCTTGCAGTTAGCAGCCCAAAGCACAAACCCACTATGCCCTACCGTTCCTAAGACCTGCTTTCCCCCCAGGAGACCTGCATTTCATTCTTTCATTTAAAGGTGCCAGATTGTGATGAAACAGATCTGGATCGGGAACTGGTGTGTGTGTGTGTGTGTGTGTGTGTGTGTGTGTGTGTGTGTGTGTGTGTGTGTGTGTGTGTGTGTGTGTGTGTGTGTGACACAGCTCCTGGAACCATGCACAGGGATGTGTGGGTGGGGCCTGCAGAAGGATGAAGTCTGAGCCCTTGTCTGTTCCCCGGTTTGGACACTGCTTTACAGTTAGGTAAGACACTGTCATGGGGAAGGTTACGCAGGATCTGTGTACAAGTTTTGCAACTTCCTTTGAGTAAGAGTTCAGAATATGTAATTTAGAGAAAAAGTTGATGTACACATATATACATATGACATACACGTGCATGTGTGTATATGCAACCATAGGAACAACTGAACAACGGGTAAATGCTTGCCTCAGGAAAGACACCCAGAGGCCGGGCAGGAGCCGTGTATCGACCAGGCTTTTGTACTGCCAAAAATTTTTATCATGTGCACATGTACCTGTTCTAAACAGTCAGTTTGAGAAACTCAGACCCAAACAAGGGAATCTGTTTACTGCCATCAATGGTAAGTAATGACGGGACACCATTGGAGGGCCTCACAGGGGAGCCTGCGAGAGCTGGGACTTAAGAGGATCAGTCTCACATAAGTTCACTACCTGTGATTCCATGCATGCTCATCCCTTACTATTGCTCATTTTAGTGGAAGATATTCGTGCTTCCTGTCTCAGACAGGGGCCGTCTGGGCCCAGGTTCTCTAGTATGGACATGGGACAGCACTGAGCCACATCCTAACACAGGTTGCCACCATTTGGCCAACTGCTTCCTTGTCAGAGAGAAAAAATTACATTGAAAAAGCCAAGAGCTGAAGAAGAAACAACTATGTTCATAAAAAAGTCATCATTATCCAATTGGACATCCCCTCACAGAAGGGTCACAAGGAAGAAACGAGCCAGTCAGGGTGTAGTACAGCACTGAGGAAACAACTTTCCGCTAGTTCTTTAATGCTCCCCCCACCCCCACTACCATGACCCCAATCCTACCCTACAAATCTGGCTAGATCAAAGCATGTACACTGGTACAGGTAAGAGCTGGAAACAGGAATCCAGGACAGACAAAGCCCTCAGGGACAACAATGGGAGTAGAGATACCAGGAGGGCAGGGGAGAGATGGGGGGGTGGGGGAAACAAAGGTAGAACAGATCACAATACATAACCACCACCACCACCGCCCAGGGGGAAGAACAACAGAAAAGTGGGTCAAGGGAGACAGTGGTCGGTGTAAGACAAGGGGGAAAAAAATGTATACATTATCAAGGGTTCATGAGGAAGGAAGGGTGGGGGGAGGGGAAAATGAGGAGCTGATACCAAGGGCTCAAGTAGAAAGAAAATGTTTTGAAAATGATGAGGGCAACCTATGTACAAATGTGATTGACACAATGGATGGATGGATGGATTGTGATAAGAGCTATACGAGCCTCCAACAAAATAACTTTTTTTTTTTTAAAGTTGTCATCACAAGAGCTCATTTCCTCTGGAACCTTATCCTAGGAGCCAGGAGACCTGGCCTTGTGACTTGGCCAGGTTCTTGCCTTCTATGACCGGAGTTCCCCAAACGGTGTCAAAACCCATGTCTTATAGCCGGTGGCAAGTCTGAGTCACCCTGAGACAGTCCCCTGAGCCCAACAGGGTCCACTCAGAGCTAGTCTATCCCAAGAGAATCTGGTTATGTCTGATGGTTAGGTTGTCACAACTGACGGGGGCCAAGACAGGAAGGGCCACTGGCATCTAAGAGGTAGAGGCTTGGGGTGCTGTCCATAACATTCTCCTACAACCAAGAGTTGTCTGGCCCCCAAATGTCAACAGTGTGGGGCTCAAGGTCTGCTTTAGAGCAAACTATGACCCCTGGCTTTACCAGGCAGCAGAGGGCGTTTACTTAACACACCGCCAAGACATGCCCTTAATCTGCTCTGCTCGGTATGCCACACAGTGGGAAGGATCGCTGACAGGGTGACCCTCTGGTCCCACTTGGATCTAACACCCCACCCCCTAAGTCCTTTGGGACAGCACCATCTGGAAGTCCCGAGTCCCATGTTGGGGGTAGAGGGGGTCTTCTGAACCCAAGTCTCTGCAGCAAGCACACTGCAGATACCTCTCATGCCAAGGAGACCAGGTGTGGGGAAGGAGTAACCTGGCCTAGAAGCAAATGCTCTCGACATGACACATCTACTAGCATGCTGGTCACCAATCGGGTCAGCCAGAGTGGTCAGGAGGCAGACGGAGGGTAGACTCAGGGGCTACCAGGCTCCCAGTGGGCAGGAGCAGAGGCAGGGGCAGAGAATGTCTGCTGAGTATGACTACTCCTCATTCTGCGCACGTCTAAGGTGCTGTTCAAATGCCCTTGAGCAGAGTACTGTATGGGAGCCAATCGAGTGGGAGGTCAAGATCACCCACAAATATACCAAAAACAAGACAGTCTGCCTACCAGCTCTTTTTCTTCTTCGGAATCATCCACACTGCCTCGCTCCAATTCTTCATCAGATTTCCGTTTGGCGGGGCTGTCACACAGGGAAACCGACCATTAGCTCAGCAAGACACTAGCGGCTCCAAGACAAAAAGGGCTCCCACTCCTCCCTCCCAAGAGCACTCCCCTTTAGGAGCCACGGAGGGCACAGGTGCTCTCCTCCCCCCTTCCAGAAGTTCTCCTGGCCAAGATGTGGAGAAGCTTCCCTTGTAACGTTTCTTGGAATGGCAGGTTCACAAGACCACCATTTCGCAGCCCCAAGAAGTCTGGGCTCTAGGTATTGGTCAGTAGCCCAGGGCCTCCCAAAGAGGGGAGACTTCCTATACTTCTAATAGAGGATCACACCTCTACCTAGCAAGAGGTCAGTCTCTAAGAAACCCAACAGCTGGAAGAGATCAGCTGGAAGACCCAAGTCCCAGCCTACAGGCTACTGAGCCCCAGGGCCACACTCAAACCAAGAAGGGAACCATCTACTCTAGACACACGCAGGGACAAATCTACTCGAGTGTTAAGAAAACGGGGCAAAGGCATCCATGGCAAAGACTTCAGAAACTCATCCACCCAGCCCAGTGGGCCTGCATGTGCGGCTGTTTAATAAGGTGACACTGAGCGGCGTGAGAACAGCATTATCGTCCTCTTCTACTGCAAGAAGAGACCTCATCTTGGAGAATCATGCTGGACAGTTATGGATGGTGGGGCTGTGGGATACCTTTCAAGGTTCTCCAATTGGGGAACAGCAGAGACGGGGGTAGACCTACACTGAAGGCCAGGAGTGGATAGCTGGCTGACCCCTGGGGCGATGGGTAGGTGGGGGCTCACCCTGCTGACCTTACCTACTTCCCACATATTTGGAATTTCCTGTTAATAAGGGGGAAAACAAAATGGAATCTGCAGAAATGCTATTCCTGCAGATGCAAGAGAAAAAAAAACGTGAGAAAAACCTATGGAAATCAGCAGCCACGGAACTGTTGAGGACATCCGACAAATTCCATTCCAGGTTTACCCGAGAGAGGGGCCCCTAAGCAACACTGACCCCTTTGCAAAGTGAAATTCCATGGTGGTCTGTTTGGTCTTCTGCCTTGTAACCCTGGGACTAGGACCTGTGTGAAGCAAAATAAAGCGATGAGAAATAGACAAGGCCACCACAATGGACGTTTTGCCCCGCCATGCCATGTCATCGCAGAGGGCAGCCACCAAGAGCAGGGCATCCTTCGAGTTTGCATTCGAGCACACCTGCTCGTGCTCCCTGCAGCAAGGAGCACTGCCACTTCCCAGAGTTTGTTGCTCGGGGCTCGTGAGGGGAGGAAACTGAACCAGACAAGGAACGAACCTCCTTGGATCAAGAGAGCCCTGGTGGCTGCTAACTGGTTCAAGCCCAACAGCAGCTCCTTGGGAAACTTGGGGGTGGGGGTGGGTGGAGAGGCGGTGCTTTCTACTCCCTAAAGAGTTAGTCTTGGAAACTCACGGGGGCAGTTCTACCCTGTCCTACAGTGTTGCTATGAGTTGGCATCTACTGGATGGCAGTGAGTCTGGTTTCGGTTTTGGTTAGATCAAAAGAGAAAGTGGCCGAGAACTAGACTTGAGTTCAAAACCCCATGCTCATGTCTTAAGATGCCAGACGAGTTGCTTTGCCTAGAAACCTGATCAGAAGTCTGAGAATAGACCAAATGTTTTCAAACCTCGGCATTTTATTTAAATAGCCCTTGTCATCAAACGGGAGAAAGATAAGACTCTCTGCTCCCATAAAGCGTTACAGTCTCAGAAACCCATAGGGGCAGGTACCACCCCTGCCCTATAGAGTCCCCAAGGGTCAGAATCGACCGGAGGGCAGTGAGTTTGGTTTCAGTTGGTCCATCAAATGAACTGTCTCTCTGAACATTAGCCATCTTTGGAGAGCTCCTGGCTCTATACCTGGTCCAAGAATTACCTCTGAAGAGGCACACATCCAAGAGGGGCAAATCCTGCCTCCCGCCCCCCCCCCACACACCCCCGGAAGGGCAGCCGGGTAAGGAGTGTCTGGGTCAGGTTTCGGCCTTACTCTTTGTCTCTCCATCGGACTTGCTTCTTCTTCTCGACAGGCGGGACGACTTGGAAGCAGACTGGGGGGATTTGTTTGCCTCCGCCATCCCTGCTCTGCGACCGGCACCACTAGCCTGGCTCCCGTTCTCTAGACAACCACGCGCTTCCCGAGCGTGAGCTCCGTTCTCCAAGGATAAATCTTTATTTAAAAGGGATTTGACTTTAGCCAGGTAGCCCTCCTACAGCAGGAAAGGATAATTTAAGTAGCAGTGAATGCAAACACGTGGCAACAAGAGAACAAGGACACACACACATGCAGTTTTACAATCCGCAGGCCACCAGGGGAGCTGGCCCTCACCCTGCCTCTCCAGCCAGAGCCAAGTGACATGGAAGTAGACACCCCCCGCCATACACACTCCTCTCCCCACCCCTCACTTCCAGAAGCCAGGGCAAGGTCACATGACTCACCTCCGATAATTCTTCCTTATGCAACTTTGTTTCCAAGTCACATAACTGATTCTTGATTTCCGTTTGCAGAAAGTCATACAAGAGATTCAATTTCTCCTTCACACATTCCTAAGGGGAAAGGGTAGATGCTTAGATGTACCCAAGCGTTCAAGCTATTAAAACAGACTAACAAATACTGAGTTATCTCAGGAGTCACATCAAGAGTAACCAGCAGGCAAGGCTGGCTCAGCCCCAAGTGGAAATTGTTAAAAAACATTTGGGGGAAAAAAACAAGGATTCGACAAGCTTCCAAAGAGATAAAAACCCCTCCCCCAAAGTGGTGAAAACGGGAAGGTCGGAAGGTGGATGGGAGGGAGGGTCTAACCGTGTGTTGACCTAAACAGTGCCTCTGAAAACAGCTTTACTTGGCAGGGAACAGTGCAGTACTGAAGGTCTAGCACGGAGCTTGGCCAAGTCTGCAGTGAGGTACCGAACACTAACTCGGCCAAGCTGCCCTCGAAACGTCATGGGAAGGAGAGCAGATATTTCTAATGGGGACAATTACCTTTTCTGTCAAGCTATCTCTTTCCAAATCTTTGAGCCTGGGAAAGAAAGAAAACTTATTAAGCGACGTTTTAAAAACAAAACAAAAGCTGTGCGTGAATACGGGAAGGGGAGGTGGGCGACGATTCTGTGGTCGGTGATGGGCTACGACATTGGTAAAGATAGGAGAGTGGCTGTTCACTCAGTGTCATCATGTCCCTGAATTCATCACAGCAAACATGATGTGTTGCTTTCTGCTTGGCTGTATTTTCACCACAATGAAAACTGGAATCGATTTTGGAAATAAGTTTCACTCATATATTGTCATCATTTGCCCCCAACTCATGGCACCCTTGGGTTATGGAGAAGAACTGCTCCCTAGAGAACCCAGCCAACTCAAAACTTGACTGCCATCAAGTTCATTCTCACTCACCATGACACCATGGCTCAGAGCTGAACTGCTTCCGGGGAGGGGGCTGGAGTTCCAAGACTGTAAATCTCACCGGACAGAAAACCTCATCTTTCTCCTATGGAGAAGTTTTGAACTGCTGACCTTGCAGGTAACAGCAGATCAGGAATTGCTGCGTGGGTTCAAACTGGCAGCTTTTCCCCCCACCAAACAAAAACATGTCACCAGGTTTTTAACACTTAAACTTGAAAGGGAAGGGAAAAAACAAAGGTGGCTCAAATGTCCATCCGTTCTGGAACATCGCACACACGGAGAAGTCCTCTGTGAGCTGGCCGTGGCTTTCGGATTGGGGTGAGACAGAGGAAGGAGCCCTCCAGCAGGAGACGACGGTTCGTGGAAAAAGGGCAGTTGGAAGAGAAAGGAATTTTCCCACGAACGACTTTGAAGCCTCCTCATATATGATGCTTACAAGTGCCAGAAAAGGGGACCAGGTCACAGTGGGGATCCTCCTGTCTGTGGAATGATACACAGCTGGTCTCAGACTTGCATCTCGAGAAAGAGCCTGCACTTGGGGGTGCCACAGCATGGCCGGCGGTTGTGTTCCTAAGTGAGCCCGGGCCACCAGGCACTTACTGGCTACTAGTGCCAAGAGGCTGAGCTGAGCTGGCCGTGGATGCACTCTTAAAAAATAGATGAAAGGGGGTGTCGGGGGAGCAGGGGCTATCCACAGGCAGGAGAGGCAGAAAAACTGGCTGGCATGGAACTAGAGGGTGGCCCTAGAGACGTGTACCTAATTGTTCCAAAGAGCAGAACCGGCATGAGTGCGGCTGGAAAAACATTTGCTCATTGGAGGTTCATGCCCATCACTGGGGATGGAGGGAGGACGAGGACAAATAAGAAGACACCAAGATGAGGCTGCTCCTCACTTGTCTGGGTGCTAGGCAGCTGAATGGGGTGAGAACAGGTCTAACCAGCTAGGTGAGCGTCTCTCAGAAGGGGGCGCGCCCTGGGTAGGAGGCACTGGGTTTCCTCCAGCTGTCCGCCCTTCCATGCGTACCAATAGCATGGGTAGGTGTTGTGGCCACAAGCACAATGGGTTGAAACAGCTCTCCCCTGGCTGGACTTTGCAGAAGGAGGAAGGTAAGGAGTACAAGGCTTTGCTGGGCGGCTACCCGTGTGGACTCTGGTCACCCTGCACATCTGTGGGTGCTGATGACAGGGTATCCAAGCAACAACCTGGGGCTTGGATGTAGCTGGCACCAGGCAGAGTCCTCCCCATTTGCTGGCCTTTCAGACGAAGACACTTAGCAGATACAATGGCAACACTAGAATGCAGGCTCCAGAGCATTCTGAACCAAGATGTCCAGAAATACACAGAACCCCTCTGCCTGGCCACCCAAGGACGGTCCTGGAACTCGGCACTGAATGCCAGAGACACTGCATCAGATGTCTGGCTTTCTGCTCCCAAATTATGGCTGGACACAGCCCCTCCCATGACCAATCCAACAGTCTCCAGGGCCTGAAGTCACTTCAGGTATAGATTACATGGTCCAGCATTCTAGAAGACTGCCTGCTCCTACAGGGGAGACTACCAGTAAGTTCTCTCAGCCCTTCCTACGAACTGGGGTATCCAGCCTGACAAAACGACACACAGAATGATTCAAAACATCTGCTTGCATGACTTACCCAGTGATGCCTGCCTGGGCTTACCCTGGCTGGCTCAGAGGTGGGGGAAATGGAGGGGACATGCCAGCTGCTCCTCCCCACACCCACCTGGACCTGAGCCTGGAGTTCCCTTCCCAGCAGAGCTATGAGAACGAAGACACCACCCCCACCCCGCTGCTTTATCTTCAGAACTAAGAGGAGAGAGAAGATAGGGCCCAGCAGAGGTCAAACTGGCAACCACTTAAGAGATAAGCCACCACCTTAGATACCCTGTCAGGGATGGCCCCGAGTCACGAGTCCCCTTCAGCTGGAATTGCCTTATAAGGGAGATAAGCAAAAATGCCTGTGAAGACAAATATCGTTCAAAACTGAGGGCTCTGGACAGGGGAGCACCCCAGTGCAGAGGGAGGCATTCAGACAACAGCCAGAAACAAGTCCCACCCCACCCCACCCCATCACTGGAGGCCGGAGGGGCAGCCTAAGGAAAGTCAAGAGTGTCAGCTAACCACATAGCTCCCACCATCCAAGGAGTCACAGGGAAGTCTGGGAGCTCTCAGGAAAAGGTTTGAGATTGTTAAAGGACTAACATTCTCTAAACTGATTGCTCCCTGAGGCATGCAGGCTAAGAGACTGACTGCACAGCCTCACCTGTGCAGACTAGGGGACTGAAGGGTGGGTGGGGGGTGGGGGGTGCGGAGGTAGTAACTGATCTGCACAACATCAGCATCCCCAAAAATGTCCATACCCCACTGACAGGAGCCTGGGAGTGGAATCTGACCTGATCAAAGGGGCTTTGCAACTGACTCCAAGCAATGGACCACAAGAGCAGAGGATCCCAGAGAACCCACACAACCATCTGCAGTTTGAGATGTGGCTGAGGACTGGAGATGCCACGGACAGATCTGAAGATGCCAGGACCACAATCCCAGGGATTGGTGGCCTCTAAGAACTGGGAATACTGGCCTCAGCCTCCAGGCCTCAAGAAACCTGGGCCTCAAAACAAAACAAAACAAAAAACAACCTGGACCTCTGTCCTATGGTCAACAAGGACTCAAATTCTGCTTTTAACCCCGAGGAGTAAGAAACTCTCCTAGAGGCTCGGGAAGGGCTGCAGCCTGCCAACAGACACGATCTGGATCCAGTGAGCTCAGTCCCAGGGCCTTCTGACCCACAGAGCTACCAGGGTGCTTCAAAAGGTGGATGGAAACATTCTACCATCTTTCCCAATTCCCCATGAACTTTTTGATGCGCCCTCATAGAAGATAGAATTGAGTTGATGTTTTCTTTAAGCCACTAAGTGTCATTTGTTACCAAGATGGGAGACCAGGCAGTACAAGGGTCTCAGTAGTAAGAGTCTTGGAGTAGTTATCTAGATGGCCGGGCAGCAGCGAGAAATCCAGACGGGGCCTCAGGGAATCGATCATGGAGACTAAAATGTGCTAGGCCTACAAGAGATGAGGGTCAAGAATGAAAAAGGGGGGTAAATTCAGGAGCCAATGAAAAACTTTAAGATGCCAAGATACAAAGGATACAAAGATTTAAAATGCCAAGAAAGAAGAAAGCCCCCTCTCGATCCTTTTCTGGAAACTCCTTGCCTAGGGGGATCTGAGGAAGGTCTGGACCCCAGGTAAACTTCAAGGAATGCCGGGCCTACGGAACCTAAAAGGAGACCAAGCCCTTCCCCAGGCTGCCCCTCCGAATTCAGACTTTCTAGCCTAAACTGAGGCGCCCAGGTGGCATAGTGGGTCCGCATGGTGCTGCCATCCTCAAGGGCAGTCGTTTGAAACCACCAGCCCCAGGACCGAGGGAGAAAGATGCGCCTTTCTGTTCCATAAAGAGTTGCCATCTCAAACCCACAGGGGCCGTTCAACCTTGTCCTAGAGTCCCTGTGCGTTGGCACTGACCCGGGGCAGTGAGTGAGCGAGCGAGCGAGCCTCAATTATAAAGACATTTCTATTTGCTAAAGAAAAAAAAAATTAAGGTCATCAAGCAAAAAGATTGGGATGAGAAGTGGACCTTTACTTTCCATACAGAACACTCAAAACAAAACCACCAACTCACCACCTTTGCGAGTAAAAAGCCTCATCTTTCTTCAGAAGAGGGGCTAGTGGTTTTGAACTGCTGATCCTGCAGTCGGCAGTCCAATGCCTAACTCGGTAGGGTACGCCACACCAAGGGTCTTTTTACACAGCACAGGGGCCACATTCCTATCCACCACCACCCACGAGTCAGATTTGCTCCCCGATGGGAAGGAACCATTCAGCTGATCACGAGGGCCAGGGCCCGTGCCACCTTCACCCCAACAACGCATCAAGTCCTAAGAGACACACACACACCTTTTTTTTAAACAGATGGAGACCTCAAGGCACCCACAGGTGAGGTGACTTGCAGGCACAGCTGGTTAAGTGGTCCACGGGGTTGGACCCAAGTAGCTACCTTCCCAGCCCCTGCAGGGATGCTGAGAGTCAGCACAAACTCCGTAGCAGAGTGTTTCCTTTTGCAGGGGAGCAGCTGGGGCGGGGGACTGGTAAACCTGGGTTAAGGAAGGAGTTGGGACCCACAGAATCAGTAGCAGGCCTGTTAACTGACCTCTGCAGAGATCTGGTGGGCAGTGCAGAGGAGGTGCTCAGCACCCGCATGTAAAGCAAGGCTTCATTAAGCGGGAAGAGGACAGAGATGGGGCCCCAGGCTGCAGATGGAATGATGAAGGCCAAGCCCCACAAATGAGCATCAGCTCCAGGGTTGCAAAAGCAGCAGACGGAACTCAACACCCTCTATCTTGGGGGTGTGCAGGGAAGGGTGGGGGTGGAAGGGAGAGACTTTGAGCAGTGGTCTGGAAGACAGCAGCCAAATGGGAGGGGAAGGTGGTGGCGCCCGGCCTCCCACTGCTCCCTGAGCACAGGCTGGGCAGGAAAACCACTAGATCCAATTTGTGTTTCTTTCGGAGGAGCTTGTTGGTTTCCACACTAGCAAACAGACCTGACAAAGGCTAAGGAGCAACGGCTATTTCTGGACAGATGATGATGATGGCTTGGACTGAGGTAGAAAAAAACAAGCGGAAAAATGTGGTTGGCCCCAAAAGACAGGCAGGGGGTAGATTCTACTTCAAAATGAAGCTTAGAAAGACAAATCCAAACATTAAAAATTCAAGTATCCCACGTCGATTGGAGAGAGATCTGAGTTTCAAAAGAAAGCTGGACACCACTGAGCAGGTGTGAATGTACCTCTTCTATTACAAAGAGAGCCCTGGTGGTAGTGTCCGTACTCAGGCTGCAATCTGCATGGTCTGCAGTTCGAAACCACAAGCAGCTCGGAAGCCCTATAGAAGGTCGTTGGGATTCTGGTTTGTCCTCTTATGAATGATGCTTGTCTGTCAATCACGAAGCTAGACCTCTGTTTACCAACCTAAGCGTGAATGTCATGTTTGTATGTGTATGTTCTGTACAGTGAATGATGCCCAGATGTGAAAAAGTTCTTGAGGGTCCTGTAAACTAGCCATTTCAACTACCACCACCTGGTCTTCAAGGAAGGCGCTCTTGGCAGCACAGTGGTTACACGAAGTAGATTAGGCCTGGGGCTGCTAACAGCAAGGCCAGCTGTTCACACCCAGCAGGTGCTCCACAGGAGAAAGATGAGACATTCTACTCCTATAACGAGTTAGTATCAGAAACCCATGTGATGAACTGTTAAGATTCAGCTAGACACACATACACACACGTGCCGTGGAGTCCTCTGACTCACAGCGACCCTACAGATGAGGTGACTTCCTGGCATTCTGTCCTACAGGGCAGAGCTGGGCTGGCCCATAGTTTCCAAGGCAGTTCATCTTCAGGGGATGCAGACTGCCTTATCTTCCTCCCACACAGAGCCGGTAGGTTCAAACCACAGGCCTTTCCTCCACTGAGCAGCCAAGTTCTTAACTAGTGTGCAACCAGGCTCACCTAAAAAGATATTCCCAATCAGTCACAAACACTTAGCCATCCAGCCCTTGGGCCGGTGCCGTTCCCATGCAACCCATCCTCAAAGAGAAAGCCTTTGGCAAGAAGCAGGCGTGGGCAGGACTCCCAGCCCCCACTGTTAAATGTGTAGAGGATTAACTGAGATGTAGCAAAGCTGGTTAGTTAATTAGTAAGTGAATTGCAGACTTAAAAAACTACTCCCTCCATCAGCCAATAACAATGCTAAATGTGTGAGCCTTTATTGGCAGGTACACTCTCTTAATCCAGTGTCAATTCAAACAACCAGGTAGCAATCCCAGTTCCCAAGTGTAAACGGTTAACCTTGCCCTTGCCTGGGGCCATAAGCAAACCTGTGAAGGTCAAGTTCTCACCTTCAAAGACCCTATAAAACAATGAAGTGCCCCAGCGGGTTTCCAAGGTTCAGCAAGTTAAATGCAAGGGCAGTAGTTCAATTCCACCAGCTGCTCTGCGGTAGAGATGAGCCAATAGATTACACTGCAGGGGCTCTCAACC